AGATAAAAATGTAAACCTAAAATGTATAAACTCTTTTACACGTAAAACTGTCTTAATTCCACCATTGCAGTCGACTTGTTTAGGTACTCTAACATTGTAATAAAGTGATGTAAGAAATTATTAAGAATGTTGTAAGCTTTATTCTCTCATTTAAGATCCTGATAGAAAAATTTGGATTTTCGAGTTCTCCCTTGGGGTATGCTCGACGGAAGAGCACGATTTAGTGCACTCTCTTGGGTACTGAGTGTGTAATGGAAGACAAGTACTCTTGGGAGGACATTAGATTAGACGGTTCTGCCACATACACTACTAGCAGTTACTGCCAGTGTACCATTCTCTACCACAACATTTTGTTCCCCTATTGCCTCAGGTTTCTGCAGACTCTGTTTCCCATCAGTAGCTTGATTGTCAGCATTGTTGGTGGCAACCAACTTTCTAAACTATCTGTATGAACCGGTATTTCCGTTGTTATCAATGGGAATGGGGAGTTGCCTAGTTTCAAAAAAAAAAATGATCTGCTGGATGCAAAAAATTAGCAGTTGAAATAGTTTCTCCACATCCATACGAGGGTAAACACTACTGATGGTGTTCAATAATGTTAAATGGCAAATCCACTAGAAAACTAAAGCTAATAACTGTGAGTAGCCATAACTACAATTGTACTATAACAATAAGAATAAATGTCTGCAGGATAAATTTACCTTGTTTTAGCAATTGAAGAGGTGAATATTTAATCGAAGAAAAGGAGATTAGATGTAGCGAGTTCACTATACAACTTGTTAATGGAGGTCATAATTTATCAGAGCAAATAAGTGGTGGCTTAAATGGTGCTTCGCCTTGATATTCTTTTTCGAAAAGAAATAGCCCAGTTGTTTTAGGCCAGAATTTATCAGATCTGTATACTAATTCTCGCAACCACTGTTATAGGAGAGGCATCAGAAACTGCAGAAATGTCTACCTGAAGAATTCTACAGAACAAAGATAATGCCTTTAGCTGCAAACCTGCAGGAGTTATACTAGCCACAGATGTCAAATTCAAATTTCAACCTGAGGATCAATTAAGAGGATGAAATGGCTGATTGAGAATCGAGAAACTGTCTTTGAATTTTGACGTGTCAATATACTACATAAAAGGGTAATAAGTAGTTTTGGTACACAAGCTATATGAGTCAAATAAATTTACTGTTGATTTCTGTATGACTTCTGTATATATGCATTGCATTTGCTTGATCAGCTATCAATGTTTTTTTTTGAACGTAAAAGAGTGTTTATGTACAGGACAGCCTTGCGGCCTGGGAGGAAATTACATGGTCTCACAGCCCAAAGGATCAACAAGTGGTGCGTCAGTGCTGCGTAGGCGTAAAGGCCCTTCTTTTTTTTCCCCTCTAGAACACGACTTCACGTGTATTTCATCGAGAAGAAAGTAGCACAATACAAACATTAGCTATCCGAGGCGAGATGCCAGGATAGAACAAGGTCCCTAGCAGGCTAGCACCAACGAGAAAAGCGTAGCAGACTACATCTTGAAAAAACTATGCGACGAACAGGTAGAGACCAACACTAAGGCTCTACGACCACTACCAGAAAAGCCGAGATTGCAGTGAACCCAGCGGCGATCCACTCATCTCCTTCGTCCATCACCCTCCGCCTCGCCTGGTCTGCCGTGTAGTCCCCACGTTGTCAAAGACGCGAGAGTGTAAAGGCCCTTCTGTATTGCTCCAGGTCATCCTTGACACGCCCTGCTACCAGGGTGGCTGTGGAGTATATGTTATCGAAAATTCTGCGGTTGCGTAACTTCCACAAGTTCCATATGACGTAGATGGGCGATGACCAATCCATTAAAATCACGTCTTTTCTCTTTTTGGATCAGCTAAAAGTGTAAAATGGAATAATTGATCTTATTTATCATATGGCTATATGGACAGTTGACTGCCTGTTATGAATAAAGGTAGCTGGAAGGGAATTGAGACAGGGAAAGAGCAAGAATGGGGAAGAACAGGACCTACATTGAAAGAATTGAGAAATCACTCTCAACTTGGCAACCTAGTCTCCTCAATACTATGGGAAGGGTCGTACTCATTAACTCAGTTCTTGACAGTAAGCTTATATATGTCATGTCATCCATGCAAGTGCCTCCGGGGGTGTTGCAACAGATCGACAAACTTCGACGGGCTTTCTTGTGGACTGGAGAACCAAACACCTCATCCTCCAAGTGCCTTGTGGCATGGCAAATTGTCTCCGCAACAAAGGAGCTAGGTGGATTGGGAATCAAAGACCTTGGGACACACATCATCAGTCTTCTGCTCAAGTTGATTCATCGCCTGCACTGCGCTACCTCCTCAACCTGGCGCTTTGGATCAGGCAGCGGGCAAACCTGGCAACCTTAAAGAGGGACCTGCGAGGACATCATTGGAAAATGCTGAGGACTTTACTGTCACTTTATCAGGCTATCACAACTGTGACATTAGGAAATGGAAAATCAACTTCGTTCGGGAATGATGTCTGGGTTGGCGACGACACATTAGCAGATCGTTTCCCAGCCCTCGTTTCTCACTGCACTCAAAAAGAGGCTTCGGTCAGTATTGCAATCACCTCAAATCTTCAGAATGCTTTTGTTAAGAGACATTGCAGCCTTGGAGGATGGCGCCAGGCACAGGCCGTGGAAGCCGTGGCTGGAGCTTGCACTTGCGCCCTGAGCTCACCTTCCGTCGCTGCACTCCAGCAGGAGCTCCGGCCTCCGGCAGCCCAGCGGCTGGGGCTGGGACGGGCATAAGGAGGCGTGGCGCTGAGGCGAGTGGGTGGGTGGGTGACTACGGATCTACTGGCTTCATGCATATGAGTTGGTTAGTCTGCTTGTGGTAGAACCTACGTATCCGGGTTAAGTTTTAGATTTTGCAGCAGCGACTCGTATTTTCATGGACTTATTATAGGATTTAACGGCGCTATACTTTCAGTTGTAGGCGACGTCTCCGTCGACAGCGAGGCGCCAGTGATGACTTCGTGAATCTCGAGATCTGTTGACTCAGTCCTTCGAATATGCTCATAGGGGTAGGATTTACGTACGTGTGTTTATATGGGGTCAGTGTGCGTGCGTGTTGTGGACGTCCGCGTTGTACCGTGTAATTAAAAAAAATTATGCTAAAATGTGTTACATCCCGTGTCACCGTACCATAACGATCAGTGGAGAAAACTGACAAAACAAGAGAATTTCGGAGCCTCACAGTCGCAGGTACCAGGATTGATTAGCTTCGCCTGTACGCGTCCGCGGCTCGCCCAAGTCGGATACGATGACCAGTCGAATTCAACTCGTCGCTACCAGTGTATATAATGGCCGCCGCTCGCATCCTCACCACCGTCTTCCAGCTGCCTCTCCCCAACCTCGCGCGATCCTCCTTCGCCCCAATGGCCGCCTGCGTACAGGCAGCAGCCACCGCCGTTCGCGACCCCAGCGCCGTGCTACCGACCCGCAACAACAGGGCGGGCATCGCCATCGGGACCACCGATGACTACGAGGAGACGTGCTGCCTCGGGATGGGCGCCTTCGGCGCCATCGTCGTCAAGGCGCGGCACCGCTCCACCGGCCAGACCGTCGCAATCAAGCGCCTCGCCGCCGCGGACTTCTGCAGCCAGATGAAACTGCTGCGGGAGGCGTGCTTACTGGAGGAGAGCGGCCGTGACAACCCGTTCGTCGTCGGCTTCCACAGCTTCGCCCGCAACCCGGCCACCATGGACCTCTCCCTCGTCATGGAGTGCGTCGGCCCGAGCCTCCACGACCTCCTCCACCAGCACCGCTGCGCTGGGATGCCGCCGCCACCCGAGGCGATCGTGCGCACGGTCATGTGGCAGCTGCTCACGGGAGCCAAGAAGATGCACGACGCCCACGTCGTCCACCGGGACATCAAGACCGCAAACATCCTCGTCAGCGACGACAACATCACCGTCAAGATCTGCGACTTTGGGCTCGCCATGCGCATGGACGCGTCGCCGCCGTACAAGCCCGTCGGCACGCTGTGGTACATGGCGCCCGAGATGCTGTTGGGGAAGCCCGACTACGACGCCCTCGTTGACACCTGGTCGCTGGGCTGCGTGATGGCGGAGCTCATCAATGGGTCCCCTCTGTTCGTGCACACTAATGCAGCAGGCCAGCTCGCCGCCATCTTCGACGTCCTCGGCGTGCCAGATGAAACGACGTGGCCGTGGTTCTCGTCCACACCGTTCGCCACCCAGGTCCAGGTGATATACGTGAAGCGACGCAACCTACTGCGCGAGGTGTTCCCCAAGACGAAGCTGTCCGAGGAAGGATTCCAGGTACTCAGCGGCCTGCTCACTTGCAACCCCGACAAACGGCTCACGGCAGCTGCCGCGCTCAAGCACCCATGGTTCACCAAGATGTAGCTGCCTAAGAATCGCCGGTGCTGTGTGCGTGACTTTGGAGTATACTTCTACCGTTGTGTGCATGTAAAACTAACTTGTCCTTCCCAACAAAGGTTGTAAATTGTAATGCCTGATGTATTGTTGCTGTGAAACTATGATATACTGATATAAATTGCATTATCTGTCTTTGACTCTTTTTGCTGCGCTTTTGAATGAATTTGATTATGTTAGCACGTCCTTCTCGAATAGATCATAGATTAACTTGATTCGGATACAATCAGATTACACGACCTCAGGGGAAGGGAGGTCTCGAGCTTAGCATAGCAATCTAGGTGGAGAAAGGAGGAATTGAACTAGGCAAGGGAGATAGAGCTCTAGACCTAGAGAGAGAGAGGCCAGAGGAGGGAGACGAGGAACAGATGTAGGAGAAGACTCTTCTGATAATTCATCCGATGCCTTCCCCATCTGCTGCCTTCCTTCCTTTGTATTGTTTGCCTATTGCCGCCTTGGGCCCTCCATGGGCTGTCCGTGTTGGCCCATGGCCAATACCAGCTCGCCACTAGAGAGTACCTAACACCCCCTCCTTTAATTTTGGCTTGCCCTCAGGCCAATGCAGAGAAACCAATTCAGTCATGGCCACCAAGGGAAATCATCTCCTTGACAGATGCATCAGTAGAGACCTTGACGCACGTCGCATAGTCAGGTTTGGTAGTACCTTCCATGAGCCCAGGTATAGTGTTCAACTGTCTGTAAAGTTCCTCAACCATCTTGAGTGCTGCACTGCCAACACTCTTCATTGTCATCACTGAGAACCAGTATGGAAGCATGGCACCAACAATCAGTCCAATGAAAACTTTAGGTGTCAGGACATCAACAGTCGAGATCGCAACACGGCTGACAAAAGCACCAAAGAGGGCAAGAGACACCAAGGCTGCTGAACCAATTGCAAAACCCTTCCCAATTGTAGCAGGAGTGTTTCCAGCAGCATCAAGAGCATCAGTTCTCCCACAAATTTTGTGGCTCATGCCAGCCATTTCATCAATTCCTCCAGCATTGTCACTGACAGTAGCGATAGTGCTGAGCATTCCCAGAGCAGCCACAGCAGCACCATACCCCATTCCGGCAATATCTCCAACATTGTCACCAACATTGTCTGCAATGACAGCTGGTTTTCTCAGATCATCTTCAGGGATATTCCTTTCGACTTTTCCAACTAGATCAGCACCAACATCAGCAGCTGTGGTATATATTTCCCCATCAAGTAGTAGTTGCCATGCATACTGTAATGAATTACGTGGGTTACTGTAGTTGTAACCAACTGTGAACAAGGTGCCTGTAGCAAATGACACCCAAGGATGCTTTGGCAGTATGTCATCAGCTGCAACCAGAGATTTTATCCATTGCACTAGAGCTGCATAACTATAAAAAGATAGCCAAGGGGTTGGTCTGAGTTGAACTCCAGTACTCTGGATCTCAAACTGCAGAGATAATGATCGAGGTGGAAGCAAAGGTGACCTCAGTTTCACATCATTTCCCAAACCATAAGTGAATATGCCATGTTGATGAATCAAAGGTGGCCACAACATCACTGTACTCGATTCAGCCATCTTCTGAGATCTCTAATGTTCCCCATGCATAGTGGCAGTGCAATCCAACAACAGAACATCCAACAAAGGAGTAGGGAAAAGCATGGTGATATACCTGTTGAGCGGTCCGCTGAACAACTTGTGACCACTTGTTGGAACAGACGAAGACGTACTTGCAAGAGCTATTGTCGCAACCCACGCGGACAGCGTAGCGCCTCGGCCAGCAGTGTGAGCATGGAGCACCACCACAGAAGGCTGGAACACGGCCATGGCATGGTCGACGTAGCTGGTGTTGACGATGGAGGTGGATTGGGCGCTGGTGGTGACTGCAACCTTTGCTATCGTTGAAGCTGCTGTGGTAGACGCCTCGGTGACATTGTAGGCGATGAGTGCCGTGGATGTGCGAAGCACCTCATAGGTATCATCATATTGTCAAACTGTAATAGGTACATCATCAGCAATGGCATATGGTCAGACTAAAATAAGCAGCACCATAGGCACACACTTGTATATACTGATGAGAAGATGGCTGCAGCAGCACAATAGACATGGATTAAAACATAGGCAAAGAAGGTGCGAAGTCACTCCGTATAGGGTGATAAGTTCCTGAAGCCCTTTGGCAACATCATATTTACGGCGAGAGTGGAAGGGAATGAGTGGCTGAGGTTTAACGGGTGGTGTAGCCACGCTGAGCGATTTTGGGGTGACGTGGCCCATTTCTCCTACCGCGGTGAATCTTGTGATTATAGAGGGAGATCGCTTCCTCACAATAAACCTATAAAATAACAATGGCAGTAGCAATGAAGAAGCTAAGAATCTTTTTTGAATGAAGACAGGATTTTTGGAGGCCTCAGAAGCATAGCAATCGTTATTTGTTCATCAACTTGGAGGTTCAAGGCATGCTGACAACTGGTTTACCCTCTGAAACTGCATAATATAAGTAGCAGCCATGCCCAGTACCTCACTAGCGAATGAACATCAGATTATATCATTGAGCAATGGATATGGAATTTTCATCACAGGCTCAAGAAGGGGAAAAATAGCAAATGGCAAACACTGAGAACATCAGATCATAACCAATCTCCCTCTACAATCACAAGGTTCACCGTGGTAGGGGAGCTGGAGCACGCCACCCCAAAATCGCCTGTACACTTACACGATTCAGCACAACAGAGGAGATGGGCCACGTCACCCCAAAATCGCTCAGCGTGGCCATGTTGCCCGTTAAACCTCAGCCAAATCACCCCAAAACCTCAGCAACGTGGGTAGCGCGGACGATTTGGAGGGATTACAGAGCCTTTGCAACAGTGACAACGAGCTAGCAGATTACTTTATCTACCATTGGCTCGATTACTGCTGGATCTGCTCTCTATCATTTCAAGCAATATTTTTTTTGCCTTTCAGACAACCCAGCCAGAAGCTAAAATAATGAAACTGCACCAACTGAGAGCACAACAATACGTCGAGTACTCATGAAAGTATAAGATGTAAATTACAAACTACCAACACTGATGGAATAAAGAGGGCATGCTAATATTGTCCTAATTTTTGAGCATCTGCGTTAACAGGAGTACCCAAAGGAAAAAACATGTCTTGGCAATGCCGAAGGATGCTAGATATATTTGTGTAACACCTCACACTGGTGGCAGGAGTCACAATATTTTTTAGATAGATATAGATGCTTGAACTACTATGGCTCCAAATAGTAACAAATATGAGCACAGTTACCTGAACCAAATCTTTCTCTTCTATCACACCTTAACTGTTCCGCCTTTGGCAATGAGCTTGGCCAGTATCTGCAGGGACAAATTTAGAGAGGCATTATGATTGATCAGGCTGCAAAGCCTAGAAGTGTGTAGACCCTAATGACTATGCCAAAACATAGAGCCAAAAAACAGCAACAGGGGAACCCCCACTGTAGCAATGTTACCTCCTTGCTGATCTTTGCACTTATAGTTCCATTCTTAATGGATGCTATCAGTTCAGAAAGCTCTAGAGGTGTTAATTTGATCTCATCAATGGAGACTTTTTCATCTTTGAGATAAGTAGTGTCATTGCCAATTGGTGCCGTCCTCCCACAGATGAACACAGAGAATGCAAACATTGAACAACAAGCATTCTAGGCCAAACCCTAGAACACGAATCAAAGTCATCGAAGGATGAATCGAGAGAGGCAAAAGCAAAATCCCAAAATACAAGAGGAAACGGGAGCACCTAAGATCTGCTATGTGCCAACCGTGGCACCATGAGACCCACTGCAGATCGGGCACGGCCACCATGAGCGGCCACAGCAGGAGAGAGGGAGAGGGGGGAAGATGAGGACGACCGGCCTGCAAGGCCATGCCTCTACCCTGCCCTACACTGGTCGTGCCACGGCCTGGTAGTAGATCGAGATGGAGGGAAAGGGAGAGGGAGGGGCCGCCCGTGCCGTCTTCTTGCCACCTGCCATGGCCACCACCACCTCGACGGAGGACGGCCAGCACAAGGGCCCAGACGGTGCGCCGACACACACACCGGGAGAGGGGAGAGAGAGAGAGAGCGCGCCATGCCGAGCTAGGGCTCACCCACAGCCGAGGCCCATGGCCACGCTGCCAGCATGGAGGAGGCCGCCGCGTTCGGGGCCTGCCACAGCGCCGCCACCTCGGGAGAGAGAGGGTGAGGGAGAGAAGGGGAGGCGATGGGAGCAGCTGCGACGGCAGCGGCGGCATGGAGGGAGGTAGAGGCGCAGCGGCGTGGGAGTGGGAGGTTAGGGAGCGTTTTTTCCCCTGAGGCCGGAGATATTTGAGGAGGAACGTGTGGCTGAAGTTTACGGGTGACGTGGCCTAGCTGCCCTGCCGGGGTGAATCTTGTGATTGTATTGTTAACTAGTCCATTACGCGTGCCCTCACGCGCGCTGGCAAATCACTTGGTTAAGGCGCAGGTAAAAAATATGTTTAATCTTTGCATGGAAACAATATTAGAAGTTTAATGTAGATATTTCATGCACAGAAACCGAAAGATTAGAGCCTTTTTATATGGTGCAGGACACATCTACTATGCATACTTTTGAAATCATGGCATTTTCTATGTGTGGTAATCATAGAAAAGACATTTCCAAATCATACACATATCTGAATTTCGCACCGGAATGGAGCCTATTATGAAATTCTGAAATCTTGGAGAGTAACAATGCTCACACATTTAAGTAAATTTGAGTTCCATTCCAAAGGAAAACAAATCATAGCAGCACAAAACATAGAAAATAAAAACTCCACTCCAACCCAAGGGAAAGAATCTTTGCTCTCACTCTCTTGCTATGCTTGCTCAGATTCCTGTGGCTTCTTCCCACCATTCTAAACATCTCAAAGTATCAATTGCTGTGTTTTAGAATCTATAGTTTTCACTATCCACTATATCCTATTTCAAAGGTTAAGGAAACTCAAATGATCATCATCTAAACTAGGAGGACATCCATGTGGCAGTCTCTAGAGTTTCAAATATGCCCCCTTAATCAGATAGCACGTGGATAGTTTATCATTACTTGAGAACTGTGAAATCTTTAAGGAATCTAGGGCATGCTTGAAATGTGACAATGTAACAGAGATTTCACAGGAAAGGTGGCAACAAAACACATCAATATACTTTTCTTCATACAAGGTGACTAAAATATTTAGATAGTTCAATTTTACCGATCGTTGACGAAACAAGCAAACTAGAATTGTGGCGAGAACCCATGAAGCGGGTTAAGTAAATTGTTTCATTGCGTCATCATCCACCTATGCTTATAAATATTACTTGAAATGATTAGTAACTACGTAAATTGGCAACCCAGGAAGGAAATTCGAAAAGAGGGAGCAATCAAAATCAAGTTGCAATCTCAGTAATGCAAGTTGGCACTCTAAGTAGAAAACAACTAACTAAGAAGGTAAGCTGGCTGGCTAAAATGTAGAGCAGATCTTGGGGATTATGCTCTAATACATTAACTAAACTATCTGACACAAGCAAATTGATGTAGACGGGATGGAACCCTGTCATGAACATATTATATTACTAAAAAGGGCTATGGCATATATAAACCAAGATTAAGGCATCTTTGCCTGTAGTTATATATTATTTTAGTTTAACTATAAATAGCTTCTCAAAATGTACTACTTTAGCTTGATCCAGGAAATTCAAGATGGGAAGGGGAGGAGGGAAGGAATTAAGCCATCTTTGCTTGTAGTTCTATATTATTTTAGTCCAACTATAAATAGCTTTTCAAAATGTGCTACTTTACCATCCATGAAATTTAGAAGGGGAAGGGGAGGAGGGAAGGGACAGCAGCAGTTTTAGCATGGGATACCAGGAGGAAAAATTGCTTAAAAGAAAATTAAACAAGGGAAAATAGAATGCCTAAAAAAAGGAGAAAGGAAGGAAAATAAACGGATCCATCCATCAGCCCTTGACCGTAGCTTGTAAATTACTATACTAACATAACAACATGCAATAGTTCCAATAGACCACCAATAATTTTAAGAGACCATCCGAACCATGTAACAGTTTTTTTCTCGAGAATCAATGCACTAAGCACACAAGTAATAACAGACCAAGGAAACCTACTAAAACAGCACAAATATCGGACTGGGAAAACTGCCTGAGCCGCAAGCTCACCAAAAGAACAGAACCTGAACCACCTCATGTGTAGTTTGCTTTCTACCATTTGCCAAGGTGGTAAAAGGCATACATAGGTACATGAAAGATTCAAATTAAGTCACGCACAGGAAAAACATAAACAATAGACGACCGAACCATAACAAAACATGTGGTAGTAGGAAAAGCTGTTGTTCATGGACTGCCCCATTGGCATTTTATTAACGCGGCCACAAATTAAAGAGTCGAAAAAATGAGTAGCCCCATCAAGATCAGGTCATCCCCATGAAATTCTATCAGTGTTGTACACTACAATCCATTGAACGAACTGAATATAAAGACAATAAAGACAAATGAGCTTCAGTCTTATTGAACTTTTGTATAAAATTAGCTCTATGAAAATTAGGTGTCACCTCAATCCTCAAAAATGAGATGTTGCTTGTCCACTCTGATAGTACGATTGGTAGCGACCGGCAAAGTCGTTGATCCCTTTTGAACAGATATAATACATCAATTGGTTGAGAAATATATTGCAATAGGAAAATAAAGGCTGCAATAATGGAGTGAGGAGAAAAAAATATTGAGAAAGACCATCAATATATAAGGGTGCGGTTTATTACCTGAAGGACTGGATATGCAGTAGCCATACTATCTTGTGCTACAGAAAGAGGTACACCACTGAGCAGCCATGTGCAGCATTCATTTCATTAGAGGGAAAATAATATCACCTTGCACATATGACATATTAGACAGAGTTAGAAATTGAAAATTTTCAATCATTAGGGGGAAAATAATATCACAATGCATGGAGGAAGATAAAAGAGTTTTTTAACTGCAGGTTTAGGGGATTGTCTGAAAATAAGGACAACATCTTTTCTTTTGAGCTAACCATGACAGCAAAATGCAATGCGTTGATGCATGAGCATGCTTGAATCTGTAGGCACACTAATATATCAGGCTGGTACCTATAACCATTTTAACTAATGGATAGAGCTGCTCCAGTTACTGTTTCGAACAAAGAGACTTCAACTCAGGTAATAGAAAATACAATATTGAAGGGGAAAAAATTGGCATCTCAGTGGACCAAAGAGAAACACAATTTCTATGTGGCTGCAATGTGGTGGCGAGATGGTCCAGGGATGGCTACTGAGACATTGCAACCAAACGAATCAGCAGGACGGAAGCAAAGAAATCTTGAAGCCGGCAAACGTGGGGCGCAGAGAGCGGGCAGAACAAATTACCTACATAATATGTCGACGTCGGCAAGATTTTAAAACCGGCGGGCCGTCGAGGAGCCTGCAAACGAAGGCAAAGGTTAAAACAACACTAAATCGAGCAGCAGCGTGAAAGCATGAAAGGCAAAAGGGCGGCCGCCGAGAAACCAAAAGATTAAAGCCGAAAATTAAAAGGAAGCAAACCGGATGGCAAAGAACAGAACGGCAAGCATAGGAAGGCTGCGGTTGAGACACGGAAGACGGCGCGGGCGGTGGCGGCGTGTATCAGAAGGCGCCTAACCCTAACAAACGCCAATCCACGAGCAGAGGGAGGAACACGGCGGTCAATAAGGCGGAATGCAGGAAGAACCAAAGGCACAAGGAAAAACGCAGCCATAGCAAGGAGGACCAAGCAAAGCCGGTGGGGGAAGCCGAGAAGCACGACGCAGAAAAGAAGGGGCGAGCAACAACGGTAACCAAAACACGAAAGGGACGGCCATAGGCGCGGGAGGACTGATCCGGTCATGGAGGCCCCCAAAGCTTCACGCTTGGTGCTCTACAGACTTAGGGGAACGACCGGATCCGCCATGGAGGCCCCGGGATCGACCCAAAGAAAGAAGGCAACAAGCACGATCGCACAGATCGACGCTGCCTTAGCGAGGGAAAGAGAGGAGGAGCAAGGAGAGAGGCCACCTTCACTGCGCCTGCCCGTAGCCGCCGCCCGTGAGAGATGAGGGAGAGGGAAGAGGCGCGGATGCGACGCGAGAGGGAGCGGTGGAAGGATCGGGAAGACATAATCGAAAGCCGTATATATTTGATGGGCCTGCTCCGGAGCGAAGGCACACAACAACGAGAGAAGGTAAGGAAAGCTGTGGTGGGCGCCAGCCGCAATGAAGCTACTCCCCGGGCGAATCTGCCTCCATACAACCATGACCACACGATCGAAGATCCAACGGTCATAAACGAAGGGGTGACGTGGATAGCCCGAGAGGCGGCCAAAGGAAACTGCCTTAATATATTAGAATATATAAATAAAATGCCGGCTTGGGCCCTCCATGGGCTGTCCGTGTTGGCTCATGGCCAATACCAGCTCGCCACTAGAGAGTCCCTAACGTATTATTCATCTTGTCATAAGTAAAGCACTAAACCCTGAAGTGATCTCTCTGAATATTGGCATGGCAGCAATTGCAACAGTATGTATACATGTGTTGGTGTTTTCGGACCATCGACGAATAAATTTATATTTGTGCGTCTAGCTTGAATGGTGTGCTCGGAGGACACAAGGGTTTATACTGATTCAGGCGGAACGTCCCTACGTCTAGTTCGCTGATGCTCGTGTTACCGGCACTTGGTTTGTAGTAGGGGTTACAAATAGACGAGAGAGGGAAAGGATCCCAAGTCTCTGGTGGAAGGAGTGAACGGGTGCTGAGAGCTCGATTGCCGTTCAGCCGTGTTCTCGTGTCGTGCTCATGTGTTAAGATCTCTCCTGTGTCGAGATCTCGCTCCCCTTAATGGGGCGC